ACAACAACAACAACAACAACAACAACAACAACAACAACAACAACAACAACAACACACACCGCTTGCCCAGACCCTAACGAGCCGCGGCATCATCCCAACACACACTCATTGATAGACGATATGTTCATTTTCTCACTCGCTAGATCACCCCTGCTGCTGAAACTTGAGAGGATTTGAGCTCCATCAACTACTCTCTGTCGGAAGGGCTGTGTCATTGCTGTTGGTTCGGTTAATGGAGAGGGATAGCTACAGCACCACGGTGACACGGCGAGAAACCTGGACAGCAGTGAGCGGCATGATGATTATGTCATTTTTCGAACAACACAGAAGTCAGTCGATCCTCGCCAACTTCGTTGCTCAGCCTCCCAGCGCGTCATGGCCTCTGAAAACCACATCACAAGAAGCACCATACACACAGCTACGGGCGGATGGTCTTGTGGTATCTGCTAGTAGTTCGGTTAGTGAAGAGGGGTCGCCACGAGACCAAAGCTGTGATGGAGCAAAAATCAGTCGAAAGCTGTTAGTTCGAGCGTGGGGTCTTCTTCGGAACAGCAGTTGCCCCCCTCGCCAACTTCGATTCTCAACCACCCCACATGAAAGCTATACGCACGCATAGCTACAATGGGATTACTCTACTTTTGCTGTTGTGTCGCTCAGTGCACACAAATCCCCGAAAAACCAATCGGACCGGATGATGAGGTGGTACGGGGGTAGCAAATGGAAAAACAAACGGCCGCATTCCTAACCAGCAGTGCAAAAAGAAACACGACTGCACAATAACAAGCGTCATGACCGACACCTTGTTTTTTTTCCGAATGGGAAATTACATATTTTTGAACAGGATTTCCGAACCTTATAAGTAACCGCCTAAAAAAGAACTCCCTCTGCACACAATTTTTTTTTGGTGCGGAGAGTCCTGTTGCAAGCGATGATTTTACATTTTGGTTCTCTCGCTTGTGAAAGGAGGGAATCATCCTCGACAGACGTTGGAAGACTGTAGGTTCTTGAAGGTGATCTCTGCATTACCCCTCCCCCTTTTTAGTCTTCTTGGCTACTACTTCTATCTATCAGGCAAGGCTAAATTTTGTTTTGCAAATATGCGGTGGAAAACGGTCAATTCTCGTGGTGAGAATACGAGCTTCGATTTCACGGTCGACGAGGGAGAAAGGGACGGCCAACCCCCCTCGCCACAACACAATAGTATAAAATATAGAAGTATGTACAAATGGTTACTCCCGTGTGACCCCGCTGATACCTCAAAAAACATTAAATTTCGTGTATGCACCGAGAGGTCAGGTGTGTAGACTGGAGCCAGAATAGATAGCAAGAACACATACTACATACACGAACGAACATGATGAACGCCGTGTCCCAAGGAAAGTTTTGAAGTTTTTTGGCGCTTCGCGCCACCGCCGATCATGAGCAATTCCAAGGCCAAGGACGACCTCTCCTAATTGAAGGCCTACATTTCTTTGCTTTTTCCATGCTTCGATTTTTAGGAGGCAATATAATGTTTTTTTGTCAGGCAACTCGTGTCTAGAGCTTAATGCTGCAGTCTCCTTTGTGAGGAGTTTGAACCTTTTTATGACATAAACTAACTAGTCCTTACCAAAGTATACCTCTGCCTTCATTGCCCATACATACATTATGAATATCTATCGTGGTCTGACCCGAATAATCTCCCCCCAACCATCGATTCCTTTCTTGTTTTTCACCTGTGCTTCGTAATGTAACACCTGCCATTATGGATGCCCTCTACTCTGGGTGAGCGGAGAGTCCGGGGTTGTGGTGGCTATGTCCTGCCACCGGAGGTTGGCTATTTCCTTTGGTGCAATGTGGCGATGAATGCCAAGCGTGACCGAGCGAACTCAGTCAAGCTAGGGTGGTGCGGAGAGTGGGCGAGCCTTCGTGGACTTCTTTTCCCATTTTCCCCAAGAAGATCCATCAACTCTTCGCAGCCGTTGGGGGTCATAAGAGTTGGGGACCCTCGGAGAACAGTAATCTATTATTATTACTTATTCCCTCAGATCCTACTCTTTGTGTACATGTATCTGTGCTCCCTGAATCTCCATATCCTGACCTCCACATAGCCCCCCTTTTTCTTCGCCGAAAGCTCAGCTTGTTGAAGTTGGGTTTTGGCGCCCATGCATGTTTGCATGTTTCTTGTAGTGGAGCAGGTATGGATGTATCATTGGATCCAGATACAGCTCTTCGAAAATTAAATCTATCCCTCACTACCCGAAGACAGCTGACAGTGCCGTGTG